GGCTAGTGGGGTCCACGACCGCCAAAGCAACGTCTTCTACGCGTGCAGATTCCACAACCTGTCGTCCTCTACCTGGTAAAATTCCCAGCTGTCCCGTTCTTTCGAACTTCTTCATCATGTCTCGTAGAGCGCGTGGTGTCATTGGTCCTCGGCGTAAGATCTTCAGCCGACGGAATGCTCTTATCGCAGCACAGGAGTTCTCGTCATTCTGGTAGAAAAGTTTCACTAACAGAGCTTTGTCTTTCAAAGTCGCCATTGTGCATCAGCGAGCTGGAAACAACTGCCTGTGCAAGGCCTGTCTTCCACTTTTGTAGGGCTCGTCTTTTGGATACGTTGCGCAGAAGCTTTATTTCTGCAAATCACGTTGCTGCTGCAATATGCACATTACTAGTGTTACAGCGCCACCTATCGGCAACTTCTTGTACTAATTTTTTTTTTTTTGTGTAATAAATCTCAAGCGCATGATCTGAAGTGTCTGCTTTTAAAATTTCATCACATTATGACCCATACAACACTCTGCACAGGCCTCTGAGTCCGAGAAGTTTAATTTGGATAACCCTGTACATTCATGTGTAATTTTCTACAAGTCAAAATTATGGTTGATCTTAAAATGCAGATTGCAGTTCAACATGATAACCCTTTTAAATTAAATATTTAAAAATTAATCAAGAAATTTAAGATACAGAACATAAAATCATATATTTAAAGGACTTGCCCAAAATAATGCAAAAAAGACATTTTATCATAGTTTTGTAAGACATTTATTGGCAATTACAAACCTGTGGAAACTCTGCACACATTTAATAAAACAAATGAATTATTAAAGACATTTATTTCACTAGATCACTTATACATGGGGCTTGCAACAAATATTTTCCTCAATAACTGCCATCTTGTCATAATATCAAATCTAAAAATTGAGAATAAAATCCATGCAAAGATTTTCATACAATGGCTTTTAACTTTTTGAAGCCGGCTGGTACAGCAGTTGTACCAGGAAAATGTGTTTTTACGCCCGCTGTGGTACAACTGTCGTACCAGCCATTCTCTCCCTATTTTGGAGAATCGCCTATCTGTAGATCTCTGGGTGGTCCATTGTCGCTGCTTAGAACAGCCGGTGGCTACGCATTATTTCCCTCTTCTCAGTTTGGCTACATTTTGGCAAAAACTGCAGGTTTCGTCTCGCGCCAATATACTTGAAAATCAAATTGAGGCCATCTCTAATTTTTTTAGTATGACTTTTGCTATGATTAAAACGTCAGCGATTTTGCACGATGTTTATGCTTACCAGATTTAATGCTTTTTAATCATAGCAATTAAGAATAGATTAATTTTTTAGATTTAATGCCCTAGAAAATAGTTAAAACCGCTTTTATCGTTTACTTTCTTTTTATACTTATGAATAATAAGATTTTATTTTGACATTTTTTTTTTTTTTTTTTTTTTTTTTTTGGAGTGCATAAAACCCTTAAGAACTGTTAACTCTTTCAAAGTGCTTCTATTATGTAGGCAATTTTGTCTGATTTATCAGGAGATAAATAAGAGACAATTGTATGCATAATAGTTTTTGTGATTTTCATTCATTCAATGATTGCTTTCAATGATTTTCATTGATTGTAAATTAAATAAAACCAATTTATCTTTAGACCCTCTTTTAGGATGACAACTGCCAAAAAGTATTTAAATATCATTAAAGTTCACGTAACTTCTAAATTGAATCAAAACAAAAGTTACTTTGCATAAAATTTTGGCCAGTTTTATTTGCTGAAATTCTTATACTCCTCAAAAGATAAAGGAAATTCAGACAAGTTAATAAAAAAAATCTTTAAAAAAGGTTGTTATTTTGTCTGTAATAAGGTGTATGTCAACTTACTATTAAATGTATGAGAATTAGGATTGGATTATGGAAAAGCATGCGATTGCTATCTGCTTAAGGTGATGGATGCTTTCGTGTAAACCTTTTAAAGAGAAAATTGCTCACATTTACGTTCGGCCCACCAGCGCCTGAGCGGTAAGTCGCTGAACAGTGGTAGTTCGGTCCGAGGTTCGAATCCTGTGCACGGGCTGGCTGCATGGGTGTTTTCGTGGTTTTCCCCATGTGTAACGTGCATACAAGCCAGTTTTCCTTAGAAAGTCCTCCACGAAGGCATCCCTCCCCTTAGGCAGATAGCTCTAGTGTGCTTTGCCATAATTAAATACACCGCCACCGCATTTACATTCCTGGTGGAAAACTCCACATGTAATCAACCTGTTCTTCAGGTTTGATTGGATTAATTTTGTTCATTTACTGAATTACATCAAAACACACAACAATTACCTGTATAAAGGGAGGGATGCCTTTGCGGATGACTTTCAAAGGGAAGCTGGCTTGCATTTATGTTACACAAAAGCCATGAATCCAATCCTTTAGCCGGGATTCAAAACCGAGCGAGCTACAAGTGTTCAGCCACCTTACGCTCTACTGAAGGGCCCGTAAAAAAATTTATAAAGAAAAAGTATTGAAATAACCGGTTTAATTTACTAACCTATATTTCTCAATCGACAGTACACAAATTACACATATGAGGGGATCATTTGTGAATAAATAAACTGTATTGCACTTTTCTCCACTATTTCATATTCCGATGGAATTATTGCATTTCAAAGTTATTTCTCATGAATTAATTTTGCTCCGTTCATGATTTTTTATATTTTCAAAGAGAAAATTTCACACTTTAAATGTCAACACCCAGTATGTCCTTATTCTTTTGAAAATGTGAAAGATTACTCTTTCTAAAATAAATTAGGAAATATATTATGTGCAAATAGAATATTCGTTGAAAATGAAATAGGCTTCAACCTTTGGATATAACAATGGTTTTAGACGAAATTTCTACCTATGAAAAGAAATTGACGTATAATTAATTCTTCATGAACATTTAAAACTGTTCTGAAAAATACTTTTGATGACTGCATGTATAGGTCACAGATTTTTTTTTTTTCTCTGCTAACATAAACAAAAGCCAATTTCACAACGAAAAATTCTCGTTAAAGATATACCTCCTTTGCCTGATAATCCAATATAATATTTGTTAAAGTTAAATGATGAAACGCAACCAATGTATCTCGGATTTTCTTTTTTATAGTCATTATCATTATTTTGTTAATGAAAATATGTTATTAGAAATCGCATTCCAGCCTGTAGACTTACAAAGCTAATTCGTATTTATTATATTTTATAAAATTTTGTTCTTGTTTTCTAATTTCTAATACTAAAATACGCAAATATAAATGAAGAGTGAAAACAAAGTTAAAAATTCACAAATTATTTACGAGATTGTTCAGAAATAGTGAGTGAAATATAAACATTGCATACATTTTGTTTTAAATAAATAGTGCACTGGATATGCATCCAGTACTGCATATTTATTTAAGCACTATTTATTTAGAACTTCATTTAAATGAAAGCAAAATAATCATTGAAAAAATCGCTAATCTAGCAACCCATCTACTATGGGACAGCGTCCGACAAACATGTAAATTTTACTACATCCATGGAGGGGAACTAATGACTTTTCTCATTAGGAAAATGTCAAAGAGGGGACAAAACTGTTTCGGATCGCGCCGGTCTGAAGGCTATATTATGAGAATTTCGGCCCGGTTTTAGAAGGTTAAAAATCACCCAAAGTACACACAGAGGGAATTATCGGGTTGATCGGAAAGTCATGTCGTATTTTTACTATGTTTTTCAAAAGTGATTTATTCCTATAAAAATAAAAATTCAATCAGACCTGTCTCTAGAAGCGAAAAGCTACCAGGTGCCGATTTACAGCCTCATTGGAATAGAATGTTTTATGGTTCAAGGAATTCTGCAAAGAGCGAAAAAAAATGGTAATCTGAAGGTGCAAGGTCAGGTGAGTACGGTGGGTGGGGCAGGACATCCCAACCAAGCTCCAACAGTAGGTAACCAAACTCGTGTGTAGTTTTGCATTGTTTTAGTGAAACACAACAGCTTTACAATTCATGAGTTCTGGCTGCTTTTGATTAATTGCATTGTTCAATTTGTCCAGATGCTGACAGTACATGGCTGAGTTAATTGTTCGATTTCTCGGTAAGAGCTCGAAATGCACAACACCTTTGAAATCCCACTACACTGACAGCATGATCTTTTTCTGGTGAATGTTCACTTTGGACGTAGATTGAGGTGGTTTATCGCACTGTTTTCAAGACCGCTTGCATGTGAAGTTACTGTACACAATACATTTCTCATCACTAGTGACCATACGCTTCAGAAAAAGGTCGTTTTCCTAACGTTTAAGAGGGAAATGGCAGATGCTCAAACGATTCACCAAATGGATTTCCTTCAGCTCATGAGGAACACAAACCTCAAGCTTGATTATGAATCTGAGCTTCTTTAAATAGTCATGAATTGATTGAGCAAGGTGTAGTGATTCTGCAATCTCTCGTGTCATGTACTTAACCATTGCCTTTATTTCGTCACCGTCAGTCTCCAATGGCTTTCCTGACTGAGGCACATCATTCACATCAAAATCGCCAGAAAGGAATTTTGCAAACCAGCGCTGGCACTGACGTGTCATTAGAGCATCATCCCCATAAACATTAAGCAACTTTTCACAAATTTGCGTCACATTCCTGCCTTTGTGGAAATAAAAAGCAAAATATAGTGATAACCAACAGTTTTTCAATCCATTTTCAACTCCATATAAAATCTATCCGACTCATTCGAAACGAACAATTTTCTGTTTATTGAATGGGTTAGAATTGTGACCTTATACAGTATTTCAGCGAGGTGCGTGCACATGGTGCTTCTACTCCAAAAAACATGCTAACGACATCTGCTAGCAGAACACAACATGACTTTCCAATCAACCCAATATAAAAGGTATCAACAGAAAACTAACATATTATTGTCAATGACCCACCTTATTTTTTTTAAAGCTTACACAAGATTCTTTCTTAAAATAAAAATAATAATATTAGCAAGTATAAAGGAGACTTACAGAAATTCCCTGCACTCGATATAAGTGAACACATGGTATTCCATCTTCTGCATATTCAACAAGAACTGCTTGCAAGATTTGTCCTTGCGCAAGTTCTTCGAATGTTGCCGTTGCTTCGGCCGACCAACCCTCGGAACCTACATTATAATACACTTTGTTATTGACATTGAAGATAAAGAAACATGATTTTGATGCTGAAGTAAGATCACTTACATAAAAAAGATAATTTTTAGATCACACAAGTAAATGTATTCAAATACCTTGGAAGCACACATACTCCAAGGGTTAGCAAAAAAGTACATAGAATATGTATAGTAGGTGCTGCTTAAAGTGATCACATTTGTCTACAACTATTTTGATAACATTAAACAACAAGGAAAATAGAGCATCCATCACTCAATGGAACATAACATGCAAATATAAAACTCAAAAACATGTAAAAAAAGGAAACATTTGTTTGGAGTAGATGTTTTCAATTAGGGGAAAAAATGTAGAAATTTTAGTAACTGTTGAAGAAAAGGGACCTCTATCTCATCATCCTCAAAACTGATAGAGTAATTCCCAATATAACCCAAACTAAGATTGCTTTTTTTTTTATTAATTTTATATTATTGACTAAAACTGAAAACAAACTGTTTGGTGACATTTTTCTGACACTTCACAACTTTTATAATCTACTTTGACTTCATTTGGTAACTTTACTTCAGTTAAAAAATAATTTGATATTATTTTGATAACATTAATTGAATTGTTGATCACAATAAGTGTAGTATTTTCCATGTTTACGTATACAAGTTTGAAAAATGAAATTGCAGAATGAGGGAAATGTTGCAATTTCAATTTAAATTTGAATCCACTATACTGGTGTTTCTAAAAATTTTATACTAGAATGTTCTGCAGACTACCTTATTCTTCTCCCCTTTAAAAGAGATTTTTTTAGCATTTACAACCCTTATACTTATATTTTTAAACATAATTAATAAAACAATTAACTTTAGAACAGTATTAAGTTAATGAAAGAAAATTCATATTTGTTTTTAATAATTCAAGGATATTAAGAGTTAGAACCTTATTGACTAAAAATTAAATAAATGTTGGTGCTCATATTAATGAGATGGATAAGCATGCCAGTGCTTGCACAGATGTTTTATACTTTTATGTCTGCCTATAAACTTAAGTCCGACATCATTTACATACTCGATTTAAGACCTTTATTGTTGTTTGAGTTAGTGATGAAATACTTTCTCACAAAGCAGGAAAGTGAATTATAATTTTTATATAGTGTACTAATTTCCATTTTCATTGCTAAAAGCCCACAGACACCAGATGTGCAACAGCAGGATGGTGAGAAGCACCATAATCATAGTGCTTTAAATTACTCTTTCACTGCTCTTTCGTTGGGAAGTCCATTAATATGACAACTGGAAATAAATTTCATAAAACAGCAGTCTTGGGAAAAAAAAATTACAGTAAAAGTCCGAGATCCAAAATTGTCGGGATTTTGCAAACTCCCAGATTTTATATTATCAGTTTAAATCTAATAAAATGACATGTAGATATGGCAGCATTGGGGCTTTGTTTATTTTTTAGGTCACACAGAAAAATGCTAACCTCCTAACAAGCATACAAGAGCTGAAAGTATGATCATGGCCATTATCAATATGTTAATCAATTAAATTGTCACTAGACACTGTATAACTTTTTATCCAGCAGGGCCCACCAACAGCCGAGCTATAAGGTCGCTGAACACTGGTAGTTCTGTCCAAGGTTCAAACTCCTTTAACGGGCTGGCTGCATGGGAGTTTTTGTGGTTTTCCTCGTGTGTAGTATTAATACAAGGCAACTTCCCTTAGAAAGTCCTCCATGAAGGCATCCCTCACATTAGGCAGATAGCACCTGCGTGCTTTGCAGTGACTGAATGAGCCAAACTAGCTAGCAGATGTCTGAAAGTGACATGCCAGGTATCTCAGCTAGTGGGGAGAGAAAGACTGCATTTACGGCATATCTGCCATCTTTAGTTGAGTGCTATGTGAGGTATCCAAATGAAAACATATAAAACGTCATAACAACCAAACCAGTTAAAATTTGAATATGCCGCTTTGGGATAATATAGTGAGACATCTAGCGATGTAAATGTAGTGACTAGTATAGTTCAAAGGCATGCACGAGTGGCTGCAAAGGATGCAGAAGAGAAGCAGGCAGGTGTGTGTTCATCCAACTGATGCGACAGTTCATGTGAGCATATCATGGCGTTCACATTGCAAAATTCGATGACTGAGCAGCAGCAAGGAGCTAGGATTAAACTGCCATATTCATTCCCTGATGGTGTTTGTATATGGAGTAGACTGGTGGGCCTGACAAGTCACTGAAAAATGGAATGCCTGTTTTCATGAAGGCCAGGAATGTTTCAGTGAAGAGCTGAGAACATGCCTAGCAAACATGGTAATCATGGTCAAATTCATCGACAAGGTGAATTAGCTGGTGAGAAGCGATGCGTCACAATGCGAATGTTGACAGTGATGGTGGGGGCCAGCATTGGAACAGTGTGAACAACTCTGCATGACAGGTTGAGTTACCGGATGGTGAGCTCGCAGTGGGTTCCAAGGAAGCTGAGAGAGCAGCAGAACACTGCAACACCTGTTCCGATATCATGAAGAACTCGCTTTCCTGAAGCGGACTGTCGGCAGTGACGAGAACTGGTGCCATCACTTCGAGCCAGAGATAAAATGGGACAGCATGCAATGGAAGCATATGTCGTCCTCTTCCTAAAAAATTCAAAGCTATGCCTCCACCAGGCAAGGTGATGCTCACCGTCTGAGATCTGATATTCATCAAATTCCTTAAACACACAAAAACCATTAATAGGACATTACTGTGAGACACTATATAGCCTAAGCAAGTCTATGAAGAGCAAATGGCCTGGGCTGCACACGGAGGAAGTGATTCAGCTCTACAACAGTGCACGTCCTCATGTCTCCAAGGTCACACAAAGTGTAAAGGCAAAGTTCAAGAGGGAGCAGCTAGAACATCAGTCCTTGAGCATCCACATAGACTTTCCAAGCCGGGGAGAGGGATAGACTATAGATAGACTATATGTGAAAAATCGAATGTCTGATAGAATACTGAAGATATAGTTCAAGACAATTTTATTAAATTTAAAGTCTATACATGTTCCAGATTCAAAAAAAGAAAACATATACTACATCCTTTTCACCCTTTATGTGTATGGCAGTTAGTCATTATGGTGAAGACAAATTTATTTTATTGAAATACCCAAGTCTTCTTACGACAAGCAGAACCTAAATTTTAATTTGACTGGCAAAAACTTTGGTACCTTTATGGCAATGTATCATCATTTTTCGCAAAGCTTTAAAATAATTCAGCATTTTCCATAAAAGTGTTGAAGATTTATTTCATCCTCTGCTCAATTAATTAATCAGTAACAAAAATTTAACTTGCAAAAGAATGTGCCCACTTTTATTAAAAAATGCCCAATTCACACAAAAGGTGCCAATGATCAGTTAAGCGAGAAACAAATCTTCTGATGGTGCACACTCCTTTACACCGTGGCACTGTTATGTTTTTCTGAGCAATGGTTGGCTTGCATAAAAGCAGCACTGTTATGCAGGCAGAGGGGCAAGATTCTGACTTTAGATCTGCTTCTTGATTTTTTTTCTTCTTCTTTCGACACCCCTTCTTTGCTCAGTGATATTAATGCAAATTTATATTTGGCACTTATCATCTGTAATCATTTCATACAGAAAACTGTGGCTTGGCCAGGCAAAACAACTCTCCATCCATTTCAATTCTTTTTTCAGCAGATTTTAGGATGACCCGTTTCCAACTCTCTCATACCAACCAATTTCATGAATAAAATCACGTGAACAGTCATTTTTCTTATATTTAAATCTTCAGTAATGATTTCTAGCAATTAATCATCAATCAAACTGTATAAAGAAAAATATTTTCAGTGAATTAGGTATCAGGTTCCCGTAGCTTATTTTAAAGTCATTATTCAAATTATAAGCCTCTGACAAAAAGAAAGCTTGTTTTAAGACTAAGAAGTCACATTTTGACATTGCATTGGTGTTGAAAAAAAGTATAATTAATTCACAAACTTAAAAGTATTATTTAGGTTTAAAAAACTAATCAATGCGTTTTTAAGCAAGAGATTTATGAAAGAAAACCAAGAGTTCTACATACTGTCAACTGGGCTGACATTGGCTAGGTAACATTCCGACGCTTGGAAAGGAAGAGTCATGAAATCACTTCTGTAAAAAAACAAATAAAATTATAAGACCTTTTATTTTTATCTATCTATATATATATATATATATATATATATATATATATATTTTAATGCATGTAAATGAAAATACATAAGGAAAATTCTTACAATTAATCTAGATAGCATGTTTTATGCCAGACACCATGATAAATCAAATTTGAATAGGTTTTTGTTATGATCATGCTGTACCTTCAGCTTACCGGCAATTCACAGCAAATCAAAGTAGCTTTTTGTTTAGAAGAGGGGAGGCTAATTAAAAAATATGCTGAGCTAATTTAGATATATGGTTCAGAATTTTATTTTATAATTTTCTTAATTCTGCAGAGTCCACATTTAATAATCTTTTCTTTTTATTCGATTTAAGTAACACATTAACATAATATTCAAACATAACAATATAAATATTCATTAAGGATTATTAACAGATAAAACTGGTATGCTATTCTTTTTTTTTTATATCAAACAAATATTGCTTGCTTGCCTTTCAAATACATAAGTAAAGAATATACAGAAAAATCAAAACATTAATAACCTGTCTGTAATTATAAGAATTGTTGCAAATTTTATGAAACAATTTATTGTTTTAGTTAATTTTCTAATAATACAAATGTTTTGAGATACTTTTATAGCATAAATTCTCTTTTGATCTTTGCATGCATATTTACACAGTACACAATCTTCAGAATTATGTCTTGAAACTTTTCTGTACTCATCGGCATTCACAACAATTAAACAAATTAATTAAAACGATTTTTTATAGATTTGTAAATGACTTAAATTTTTATACTGTCTGTTAACAACTTAAAAAAGTATTAAAAATAGCATTCATCTAATTTTAATGCATTGCATTCTGGATATAACCACACATATATAAATGTAAGGCAAAAGATTTAAGTACAATCAAACATTACCGAATTTGCCGAAGTGTGTTCGTTGGAACTTGAGAGAAACCGCCGTAATCAACAAATTTTATTTCGCATTCGGTTCCACTGTCAAAAACAAATATCACTTGCGCTCTGTACCATCCCCTCAAAACTGGAGCAGCACAGATAACACCAGCTGAAGAATAAATATTTTCATATCAGAAAACTATCACAAGGTTCATACACAATTCTGCACACAGAAATTTAAGTACTTTTAAGGATCATTAATGAAAAAAATTAAGGACATACAATAAAAAAAAATCTGAATGAATTCAATTAAAAAAAATATTAGCTATGCCTGAACTTCACTTTTGTAATAAAATAGATCCGTAAGAGAATGCATTATTATTAAACATAAGTTAATTAACATAATTATTAAATTTAAGAATAAAATAAACTTGATGAAATTTATGAAGCAACATTAAATATTTTGCACTTATAATTAGTTGGACATATTGGAAAGAAGATAAGTGACATTTTATATCAGTTTTATACTAACAGTTATGCGAATTTTTTTTTTTTTTTTTTTTGCCCAAGGATTAGCCCAGAAGAGCTATTAATTTTGTTTTGGCATTTTGCTTTGAAAACTTTAAATGTCGGTTCCCTTTTCAAATTGTCGCCACCAAATGTTATCGCTTTGTGTTATATTTAAGGAAATTAAATAATGAAGAATCTGCATAAATGTATGTACATTTCCCGCATTGTGAATAAACAAGAGCACCTAGAGCCATCAAAATTTGAAATTTGTTGTATTATCTATTTAATATTTTGTAATAGTTCAACGAATTTTTGATTAACAAACTCAATGATTTCAAAGCAAGCAATATCAAAGTTGTACGGGGTGGAAGGGGGTAATTATCTTCAGCGAGAGAGATTGTATATCGAAAATTCTAAAGATATGCTCATTTTAAAAGTATTTTGCGATACTGCTGTTGAATTCAATTTTATGGTTTGAATACAAAGAACATGATATTTAATAAATAAAGGTAACACACAAAAGGTTAAAAAAAGGTCCCTTTGGCCATAAGGTAAAATTTGAAAATTTTCAGATTTTTTTGGGGGTGGGGGTGTTTTATTTTGTCATATACTTGTTCAGTTTACAGGCTTAGTAAACAGCAGGTAGATTTTATGTTAAGCGGCATAGGTTAAAATGAGAAGTAAAATCATAATCACCCTGATTCATAAAGACTGACTATTATCACCACTGCTGTTTGCCTAGAGACAAACCTGCTGATCAGAACAAACCTGAAGGGCATGATATAGGCACAGTTATGGTTCTGTATAATGCAGTTAGTGTCATAGCATCATGTACAGTTCCAGGAGTTATAACCCAGTTAATATACTTAAAAGTTCCAATAAGCCACTAAAGCACCATTCACACTTAACAATCAACAAATCTAGCGGAACTAACCAGTGCACGGAACATGGATCTATCTAATCTAGTTCATTCACATTTATTGGAAGCGTCCAACTAGCAACAGTCAATAAGCGAGCAGAAAATCACGCTTGCTTTCATTTGTTTACATTTCATAGCTGACAATATTTTGCGCCTCGGATCTTTAAGAAGTACTGCAAATTTTGAGCGTTACTTTTAACGTGGTTTGACCGAAACGTGACCAAAAGCAACAAAAGCGCATTTTGTTATAATTTTTTCTCGCAGCATATACATTGTATGAGGCATTAGTGGAAATGCCACAAAAGGAATAGGCAAAAACCATTTATTTGCAGAAAGCATTAAGTGACATATTTCATTAACTAGAACACAATTAACTACAGTTCTTACAGCTTAGTTCAAAGCAATAAATTAAAAATATTAAGGATAATTATTATTACTTGATAAAATGTTAATAAAAATATCAATATTAAATAATAATGATCATTAATTTTCTGACTCGAGTAATTTCTGGGTAAACATGGCAAAGTGCAAAGTTATATTATCAATTTTTTCCCTTCCACAATTTGGTAATTTAATATAAAGGTTTCATATCATCAAAAATTTTGTCAACAAAAAACATGTTTTATTATCAGTATTTCTTTTTCAAATGAGTAGTGAATGCTCTCGAGTTTATAAAATTGATGTGACATTTTATTACATGAGTTAATAAACAGTATTTTTATGATAGAAAAGTTTAGAAGAAAAAATATACATTAATGCATTTACCTATCTTTCACTATTTTTAATTCCATAGGAAATTTTATTATGCAATTATATATATTATCCGAGATCTTTGATATCAATAATTCAAAAATTATTTGGGAAAATTACAGTAAAATAAGAACATGTCTTATTATCATGTTATACTATCAGCATTTTTATTCCAAACCGCTCTCCAGTTTATAAAGTTGATGTGATTTATTTTATTATATGAGTTAATAAAGAGTATCCTTCTTTTTATGATGAAAAAAGTTTAGATGAAAGAAAATATTATATTAATGAGTTTGTCTATGCTTTGCTTTAAATTCTATAGCAAACTTTATAATACAATTAAATATCTCCGATATCAGTAATTCAATTAATTTCTCAAATTCAAAATATAAACACGAAAATGGTACTAAATAGAAAAGAAAATTACTATCCTGATGAAGACGATCTACAATAACCATCCATGTGCATTCTTTCTTGACTTTGTTTTTGAAATCCTTCAGTCGGCTGTCCCATATAATGGGATACCACTGGATTTCGGCAATCAGATTGCAGTCTTCACCCAAATCGTCATCCAGGTTTGTTTATAAGCGTGGCGCTGATGATGATTTCAAATATTCTCTTTCGTGATTGGTCAGTTCCATGTGCCGACTAGCTCAGTTTTGTATGAAGTTCAGGTTTTTCAACTGGGTTCATTGTAACAAAAAAACACGTATTTTTTTAACTCGTTGGCTGTGTCAGATGCGTCTGTTAGCGCTGACACTTCCCAGTGGGAATGGCCCTTTAAGCTCCAGAGGTGATATGTTGTTTTGTATTATTTTAAGTCTCACCAGATTTGAAGAATAACTTTAACATGAATTTTTACATTTTTGTGTTTTATCTTGTGACCACAGTAAGGATTAATGAAAGGCAATAACTCGCTTTAATATGCAGAGATAATTTTTAAGGGTAAGCAGTTAGTTATAAATAATTAAATTAGGGAGTTGGATAATCTTAGTCATTAAGGATTTTCATCCCCGATATTAAATTTTATTAATTTTTTTAACAATTTTTGTTAAAAAAACCCTATTAAATTCACAATCTAATCAAATTTCACAGTTTAAAATACATGTAATTTATGACATTAATTCTTAAACAACATTGCAATAATTACACATTAAAATTTAATCAACTTTTCTAATAATTAGAAATTTCTCTCAATATGCAAACCAATGTTCTCACTAGTTTCTGTGTGCTTAATCTCCTAACTTGTCAACATCTCCACAATGTACCTATGAAGGTTTACTTGATCTAGTAAAAGTTAAATATCCAGACATGAAACAAATTATCGTTATGTCTGAAAGTAACTACAAAGTCAGACAAAGGTTTAAACGCCTCTTATTTAAAAAAGACTGAGAACATAAAGGCACATTCTTATGCTAACACACACACACACACACACACACACAAAAAAAAAAAAAAAAAAAAAAAAAAAAAAAAAAAAAAAAAAAAAAAAGAGAGAGCTCATGATGATGTTATTAAAAAAGAAAAGTTCAGTTCAAACTAAAAATGTGGAATAGTGGTAAAAACTATACAATTTAACTTTAATTTAAGCTGGCTCAGTAACTCTATCATCATAACAAATTCAAATGTTGGCAGCGATAACGCAAAGATAAATAATTACAAATTATCAAAGCTGGCTTGAACTAATCCAGCAAGCAAGCGGAGGTCAGAAACACACCAAGTTGCACTCCAAAATCCTCAGTTTAAAAACTGTCTAAGTGATTTGCATTCTGGTGAGGAAATAGAAATGGGAAATTGTAAACAAATGGATAATTTACATAATAATAACTGTATATATCTGTTTCTTTACATATCTGTACATATCTGTTTCTGTACTGTTTTCTTTCTCTTCATGCATTCAGTTTCTTCAACACATTTTCTTTTCATTTTAGAATTTTTGGATTTAATTAAAGATCTCTGTTATTCTAAAACAACTAAATGCATTTGGAATGTATAGAAAATGCTGCTAATTTTATTTTAGTGATATGAACATTCAGAAGAAATATGAAATATAAAGGCAAGGGCCAGTTACAGAGCTAGTATGACAGAATGTTCAGAATTTAGTGACACACCAAGCAACAAAATCTAGAAATGTTAAAACTTTTAGAATTTAGAGCAGGCACTGGACACAGAATTTAGGATCCACAAAGATTGCATCAGGTCAGAAAATGCCTAACTCCAGCCCTGTGTATGATGCATTAAAACATATTAGATCAATTTTTTAAATTGTCAGTTTTCAATTTCTTTATTAATACAAAAATTCCTTCCTATAATGCTTGTCCATGTGATAAGATTAGAAGCATTTTTGATATTTACCATGCTTGTGTCAAATGAAAAGTAGAGAAAATAAAGGCAAGATAAACATGTTAAAAAAAAGATTCTAGTATCAGAAATAAAACATTCAAATATTATCTTTTCATTGTTCTTCCAGACATTCTCCAAAAAAATAAGAAATTCATTGCAAACTTTTCTACCATGAAGACATTTTTCTGGAATCTTCTAGAATCGTAGGTCTATAAATCAGGCCTTCAAATCCTTCTAAACTTTCCAAGCTGCAATGTCTAAAATCCTACAGAAAAATTACCCCTACCAATTCTGTGACAGAAGAAAAATATATATATATATATATATTGAAAAAATATATCAGAGGGAAAGAGTGTAAAATTAATTAATTTTATAGAAAAACATGCATATTCAGAGAATTCTGAATATTCTGACACAATTACATGGGGGGGGGGAACTCTTACCATTAAAAAAAGACATCTTTAATTTGATTACATAGTATTTTGCTTTTGCTAAGAACTGTTTTGTAAATTGTGCTCTAAAACATTACATCTTGTTTATTTTTCAGATTCAAAATATTGTATAACAAGTTGCCAAAATGGAACTTTATAATATGAGAGTGAAAAATAAAAAATATTTATTATTTTTTAAATATAATTCAGAATATTACCATTTTTTTAATAAAATTTATCAATGTTATAATGTTTTAAAAATTTTTTTGAGAAATTCCCACATCTCAGAATTAAAAATTTTCTGTAGAAACTGATCTTAAAATCGCCAAAATGTTGATAAGTTGCCAAATTTAGAGCCATTTAATAAAAGAATTCACATCCTTAAGTGCAAAAAGTTGTTTATGAGTTCTTCATTAGAAAAAACTGAAATAATTTCCAAATGCTTATGTTTCATTTCTTGTTCAGAAACATGAGTATCCCACTATTTATATTAAAAAATAGGAACAAATGAAATTAAAATTTTTGATGGTTGACAACAAAATTGATACGGGGTTCGTATGGACCTTAAGAGTCCTTAGATTCGTAGGACATTAAGAGTCCCATGAATCCATTCACCCATTCAAAAGATAACCATATTTATCAGTGAATCACCAAAAATATTCCTTCAAAATGCTAATTCGCATCCAAAAAAACAGACAGAAATTTCAGATGATTAAAATTAAGGACCCTCTGCTGATTTTGGCTGAAATTAAGGACTTTTAAGGACCAACAATCGATTCAAAAAAAACCTAAGGACTCTTAAGGTCCATACGAACCCCGTATCAATTTTGTTGTCAACCATCAAAAATTTTAATTTCATTATTGCTTGATAATTAAAATTAAATATGAAATTTGGTAATTAAAGCAATCAAGATTTATTATGCATTTTGTATGGTTAAACATCAAAACAGATCAGATGTACAACAAATCAAAGTTGATGAAACAAGTTTTAATTTCTATTTACACTAGGGTGAAGGATGTTTGAAATTTATGTAATATTCTTTTTAATATGCTCATAACTGCTCAGCAGATACAATGACTAAAATTTAACCTTTTAACCGTCACGCACGAAATAATCTCGGGCACAGCACTGGTATTCTAAAATTTCACGCCCAAATATTACTCAGGCTAATTTTTTTTTCTTTTCGAGTGCATTGTATTGTTATACCCGAATGAATATATATCGTAAGAAGTTTATTTTGGCTTCAGTTCAACAGATATCAGCACTTTACTGAAGGTTTCAAGGGATAGAGTTCAAAGTGCACAACATTAAAAAAACTGTCTTGATTGCGAGGCAAACATTTCATTTTTGGAATAAAAAAAATTGACAATTTATGCACCCAAATCATCAAAATGACTTGACAGTTAAAAGGTTAAGGTATTTATGTGGTAGTCAAGTTTTATGGTAAATACTCAACTTGTATGTAAAAAACAATGTTATTTCAGATGCAGAATCCCAAGAAATTGCAAATTATTTCATATTAAAATTTCTTGCACTGATATCCTCCCTAAAAAAAAAAAAAAAAAAAAAAAAAAAAAAAAAGGGAATGTCCTGTCATAACAGGCTTGGAAATAAAAATGTGCAAGCAGTTTATATTTCATAATTGCACATAAATTGTTTCTTCAGCTAGTGAACATTTTCTTGGATTTCTGTAGCTAAATATTTAATATGCTTACTATTTTGAAACTTACATCAGTGGAAAATTTAATGCCATTATCATGGCTGGTGTTATGCTCAAACATCATCTTGTCTAATATAAAAAGAATGAACTGCTTGTGTAGATCTGTAATCACCTTTCTAGTCAGAGATGCTATAACGCTGAAGTACCCAAAGCAATTATAGACAATCCAGTGATGCTCCCAAATTATTTGACCAAATTTAGAAGTCTAAGAAAAAACTTCTTAAAAAACGGAAATAATTTTCTCTTTAAGAACATAAGCTACTATTATGCTGTATGTGATCTTATATTATTTTTGAATTTAAAACTTCAGTTATTTGTGCTTATTATATTTATCTGTGCAAACCGATATCTGTGCTTATTATTTTTGAATCAGTCTCCGTATTTAAAACTAAAAAGGGGCTGCCTTCACTGATAAATCATAACTGCAAGCTTTGAAATAAGAAAATCTAAGAGGTTTTTGAGAGAAAACCACGAGTTTGTAAAAAATTTTCATGCTGCATGGTGACACCCATTTCAAAAGAAATCATGACTAGTTAAAAGTCACTTTATAATACATGATTCAGGTTAATGAATTATTTATAATACAATTCTGCCATCAAATACATTGGTGCTAAATTAGATAGTCTAAACTTTATGCTTTTGGCTAATTTTATTTTGTAATTTTCTTACACTTTTATACACATATTTTAAAATACGATGAAAATAAAATTAATGAGCATATTATTATGTGAATAAATTTAATGACAATTTATATGTAAAACAAAATCAAATATAAATATTAATTGATCAAACAAAGACAAACCTTTATAAATTGTTCTACAAATGTCTACAGTATATAAAGAGAATTCATAGCAAATAAAATTTAATAGAAAAAAATTTGCCAAACATCATTACGGATACAAATTAGAATTTTAAGAATCAAAATTTTATAAATTCAATACATATCATTTATTACTTAATTATTTTCCAAAATAAAGTTTAAAAATTTTAAATCAGTTGATATGATGAAGAAATAAGACAGCTGATAACTAAGAATAAATGACAGATGAGTGTTTTCACCTACCTTCAACTGGATGAGGCAGTAGTGGAGTATCTAATTGAGAATAACAGTTCATCATGCACTGATCCAAAGTGCTTAGGGAAGGATAAGTTGGATGAGTGGGTTGTTGTAGAAAAAAATGACCAGCAGAAATGAGGCTGGATAAAATGACATCACATGAGGCACCATCTGGAAGATGAAGCTACAACAGGAAAGATTAGAGTGTCAGAAATAAACCCAAGCATGATACACAAATGTCCTACTGAAAACAATGAAAAAGTAGCTACTTGATCTTGTAGTTACCCAGTTTGCAAATAGTTGCCTGTTTGGAATACAATAAAAGTCCGACTACCCTGGAATCAACTAACACGAAAGCTTAAGTAATCAGAATATTTTAGAATCATTTTTTTAAACAAAAAATTCTGCAAATCAGGAACTTGTAAAAGGTATCCTAAAGCACATATACACCTAGGAAACAAAATCTAGGATGAAAATCATTAAAAACTGCCTGCCATTGCTGCTGACATAATGAGAGAGAATTAGCTCATTTTTTATCGAAATTTTTCATGTGGGTCTATATTGCATCAGACTGAAAAATGTACGACTATGAATCGCATTTTTTGCACTGTTATTAGCCGTCAGAGTCATGGAGTCCGGCAGATTTTGGGGTAAAAGGAGTCAGAGCTGGAGTTGCTAAAAACAGGTCGACTCCGACTCCAGTTTTTGTTGGACAGTTTTAATTTGAAATAAAATTAAAGTGAATTAAAAAGAAACATTAATGACAAACTGAGTTATTATTTTTATTTACATTAATAAATAGTTATTTTCTATTCTATTGGCATATTAATAAAAAATATAAGGAAGATGGATGTGATATATTTGCCATTAGTGATTAAACTGATTCATTTAGTTACAAATCTCACTGGTAAATTTAGGTAAGCAGCAAGAACTCCCCAAATTATGCCATTCCTAGGATGCGAGCAGGAAAAGGAGCAATTATTGATCAAGCAAAGCGATAAGGAAATACATATTTGATGATAAAGAGGTTGTTAGAATCAATAACTTTTTTAGAAGATGTAGATAACCCTAATGTTTCACTAACAGAAAGACTGTGGAATGATCTTGCAGAATTGGAAACTCTTCTTTCTACACCGTATATAGCCACAAAAAAGCTGCAATCTGAAGAATTTTCAGGAGGTGAGACTGGAAGAATGTGAAGTTTGTTCTTTCTGAAATGGAGGGTTTATTGCAGAAGGAACCATTTCTTCAATGAAGAAAAGAGACATTAGTTGGCTAGACAATGAGATCTTGCTGGGTTCAATATATGTAGATCCGAAACACCAAATTTTCTTGGATGGAGAACAAATTAAAAAGACAAAGAAAGCCATGTTTGAACTTTCATTAAGAATGAAATTTTTCTTAGAACAATTGGAGAATTCGAATCAGGACAGTCAAACTGCAGATACTGCTATTCAGTCTCTATCATCCTCTTCCAGTAATGAATTAGATTTTGAGAAATATTTTTGGATAATATTGAAAAGGCTAAGGCAAAGCGAATGAAAATAAAGAACCAAGAGCCTTTAGATATAAAAATGAAAAAAATACAAACAAGATTTCTACAGGGCATTTGAAGAAATAGAGAAATTTGATTGCGCTTCAAGACACCTCTTTTAGAACTTCTAAAAGTTTATTCTGAAAAGTTAAAAGAAGTAGGCCTAACAGTAACAGCGCTTCCCCTCCTACTCAAGTTAGTGTGGAAAGACTCTTCTGAGCTCTGAAGTTTATAAAATCGGATCTTTGGCCCTCCAACAAAGAAGATCTTGCTGAATCTATACCGTTTCTTAGAAATAACTAATGACAGTTTTTCCATTTCATAATAAATGCTAATTAATATAAATAATTTGCTATTCCATCAATTTTTCCCTGTAGCATCTATTACTACTTTTATGTTAAGAAAATAAGCTGTAACCCATGTGTATATGTAATATATGAGGGAGTAAGAGTAGGAGTCTTTAAAATTCCAAGAGTTGGAGTCAGTCATTTTCCCTACAGACTTCACAGCCCTGCATAAATGTTTTGACTAAATATGCAAATGATTAAAATTTGGTGTCCAATGAATGAACAATGCGATCTCTAGCGCATCGGAACTGCGCATCCAGCAGATATGCATAAGGAGCTGTTCTTTAACTGTTGTTATGAGGGAGTTATATTAAAAAAATAAGCTTTAACCCATGTGTATATGTTTACATGTATGAGGAAGTCAAGAGTTTTTAAAATTCCAGGAATTGAAATCTGTCATTTTCCCTACTGACTCCACAGCCCTGGTTATTAGAAAAGGATTACAGTGGTATCGTTCCCTCTGTTGTTAGATGCATTACTCTCAATCTAACTTAACTGGCACTGGGTACTTCTTTTAGTTTGATTACAAATTTAAGCAGATATTTGTGTTTGTCTGCATTTTAATCCATGCACTTTTTGCAGTCATGCACAGATTTGACTTATTTTTGACCTTTTATGAAAAAAATTAATGGGCCTTGGCAATGCTCAACAATTTATTGCCGACTTGGCAACATTTCAGAAGTACTGAGACAACCTTATAAATCAACTGTGCCGGAAACCACACTCAAGTTGGTTCATGGCAGAGTATCGAGTTTCTGTTTGGTACTTTACTAAAATCACTTGCAAAGTAAAGTCTAATCCATTATATTCCACATTTCTTAAGGAGAATTATCTGTGTCATTTTCCTGAAACTACAGCTAATTACTTTACAAGCTGCATTTTCTTTGAATAAATATTCAGTTTCTTCCCATTCATCTTGAGTAATTATTAAGACATACCTGCCAACCTCTAAAGATAAAAATTCAGAAGATTTCTCCCCCAAATTCAGAACACGAAGAATTAATATCATGCTTTGATATTAAAAAAATAACAATTTATACAAATAGAAAAAAGAAAATTGTACTTATATTAGTAAATCTCAATTAAGTAGTAGTAACTAAAAAATTTATTAGGAAACATAAAACAAGAACTTAATGTTACACAAAAAAGTTATTGCAATGAATTTAGAGTGCATTTTTTGGCCTTAGCCAAAAATTCTTTGGAAAATTTCCGGTCATAACAATTAGTTTCCTCATAACATTCAGCAATTAAAATGTTTTCTAGAGTTTTTGGTGAATTTGAAGATCGAAACATAGTTTTGTTTTTCTTCACAACACTGAAGACTCTCTCGCACTCAGCATTACTGTGTGGAATTACGAGAATAGCACATAAAACTCTTGCTAGTCTATCATATTTTGGTGTTACATCAGCTCTTTTTATTCTTTTAAAGGTACCAATGAGGACATCAAGTCTATCTTCTCCAGAACTGGCAAAGTCTTCAAACTGTGCAGCAGAAAATTGGTTCTGTAGTTCATCTAAAGCATTATTATGGCATTCATTTTCTTTAATTGTTAACAAAAATGGAAATTTATCAATAAAAAAACGAATCTTTTCAAAAGATAAATTTTCAATTTGTTTCAAATTTGCCACTTCAGCACTTAAAAGCTTTTTCTGCTGCCAAATTAATTAAGTGGCATGGGCATCCAATAACAGTTAATTCATTTTGTTCTTTTTTGAGGAAAAAAGGCTATACCCTTTTTGTCACCCACCATGACATGAGCATTATCTGCACCAAATGAAATGCAGTTTGATATTGGATGTTAAGTTGTTTCAACTCATTAATTACCAAGGAGGCAATATTTCCCCCCGTAGTGTCTCTATTTAACAATGGCAGACGCAAAAGATGAGTTTTCATTTCATCAGAAACATCACAGAAATATGTGACAACGATGGGGTAAAGCTTCCAATCGCTGTCGTTGCTGCTATCGATTGACACCGAAAATGCTGAATTCTGGAGTGTAGCTATCGTTTTACTTTGTGCATCGCAAGCAATTTCGTTCACAATAGAAGATGTTTTCGTGCGAGCACAAGCATATTTCTGAAGAATCTTGGAGTCGGGAAACATCCGACTGAAAAGTTGGGTGCTACTTTGGTAGACGGTTGCACGGATTTTGGCGATTTTTCTTTTGGCGAGTAATACAACTTATGGTAAACCCATTGCTGGATAAGTTATTTATAGTAACCGATACTTTGTTGTCATTTTATTAAAAAAATAATGTGTTTTATTATGCATAACTTCCGTGTTTTAAATATTATTTATGGCTTCTAAATATTAAAAATCAATTTAATTTTACATTTTTATTTGAAATAAAAATTTTGTTGTTTATAATATTTTATATAATTTTATGTTGTGGATGATGTAATCAATGACGTCACCTTACAAAAGTAATTGGTTTTATTAATATCTATAAATTTAATCTTTTGTTTTAAACATTATTTATGGCTGTTAAATAATAAAATACAATTTAATTTTGCATTTGTCTTAAAAATGATTTTATTATGAAGAATTGTTTAAATAATTTTAATTCTATGCGTGATGTAATCAGCTCCCTGATTGGTTACTGAATATTTGTGCATTACCGCGCCATTTTAAAATTTTATTATTCATCTCTTCGAATTCCTCAGATTTCAAATGGAATGGATATCTCCGTTTCGAAGGAGAGATGTTGTCATTGGTAATTACCAAGAATTATTCATATTGGAATAAAAAAATTGCCCTTTGAGACCTTATTTTGGCCAACCTGTCTTTCCTAATCAAAGATTTATTTATAAATTGTTAATAGCGTCAGAGGTAATTTATTTTAAATTTTTGACGGAAACCTCGCTAATTGCTTCTTCAATGAAGTGCGAGATATGTGGATAACAGATGAAGATGGTTAAAAGAGCGATTCAATTATGATTCGATTTTTTTTTTTTTTGTGGTACTTATCAATAAATAAGAGATTAAATTACTCAAAAAAATGTAAGTACATATTTTTCTTTTATTTTATAATTGTATACTTCAATTTGTGTTAAAAAATTAATACACTATTTTCAAAAATTGCTGAGATAATTATTGTCACACATGTTTTAATGTTAATTATATTTTATATAACGTGTTTTGGTCTAATCCTAGTATCCGGTGCACACGGGATTTGGCTACTTTTGGCGACTTTATGATAAGCAGCAAAAACGGGACATACACGATTTATTTTTTGTTTTAATTTTAGAGCGGTTGTGAGTGGATTATAGAACACGATGATGTAATAATACAAAAACACTATTTCTATACATTACATTAATCAGTACAAAACGCATTTTGGTTTAATCCTAGTATCCGGTGCATACGGGATTTGGCGACTTTATGATGAGCACTAAACGAAACATATACGATGAGTAGTAAACGGGTCATTCAAAGAATGTATATAGTTATACATAGTTATATAGTATGTATGTAGTGATAGTATATAGTGTATAGTATGTACATAGACGTTCTTTGGGTCATTTTTTGTGTTGGCGATAATTTTCAAAATCGCGCCAAGGCTGCACCGTATGCTAGGATTTTACCCGTATTTTAAAGTATTTGAATTTAATAATATTCTAATTCTTTTAAATTTTGGTAGGATGGTTTTAATTCGATATTCAATTTCAGTAATATTTTAATCTAATTAAACGTTGGCAAAATGTTTTTATAGCGGTGTTTTTATTCTCTTTTTTGCTATATGAAAGTAATAATAGCCTTACTTTAGTACTTTATACTCATAGTAAATGTATCTATTTACACTTGCCTGCCATTTTAAAAAACGACACTTTCAACAAAAAATTAATCCATTACTTTTAACGATATTTATTTTATTTTAAGTTTCGAATACTTTACTATGCGTAAAAACAGCGTTTTTCAAGATGGCTGACGATTGTAAAAATCGCGCCAACGTAAATCGCCAAAAATCCGTGCAACCGTCTACCAAAGTAGCACCAAAAGTTGACCGGCGTGATTGGCAGCGCTTAGCGGCACGTTGTGTTCGATGAGGAATGCAGTAAACAAACACTCTGCCAAAATGACATCGGCATCCGAATTTGAAAAAAAAAAAAAAAAAAAAAAAAATCATCCATTTTCTTTGACGTTGTCGAAGCTGAAGCATTAACTTCATGCTTTTTAGACTTAACGTGCTTCACAATGTCGCCTTTTTCACCATGACTTATTATGAAGTCACACACGCACACGTTGCAAAATGCATAGTTATTTCCTTTGAAGGATTCTTTAATTGTTGGAAATTGTAGGCTGGCCGAAAACATTGAGAATACGGTTTCTTTGAATTCATTTCGTAACAACGACGTATTAAGAAAATTCGTAGCGCGTGCAAAAAAAAAAAAACAGAATGCGACAATCCACGCTCGCTTAGTCCGAGCTGAGTAATTCCCTTGCTGCTGAAGCGAACGCGAAAAAAATAATCTGGCGCCCACAAAAAAAAAAAAAAAAAAGAGAGAGAGAGGGAGAAACAAGTTCAGCGCATTGGATTGGCTGGTTAAGCCGCCAGTTGTGAGAAACCACAGGTTACTGGATTTGAAGTAGTCGGTAGTTGGCGGTAAAACACGATGCAATTGGCAAAAATCGCTGAAATGGCGAAAAATTCTAAAATTTCGACAAAAATCACTTGAAAAAGGAAAAAAATCGTGTAAAAAATGGATTACGATCGTAAAATCGTAAAGACAAACGCATTTTCGTAAAAATTACGAAAAATTCGTAAAAGTTGGCAGGTATGTTAAAATCATCTTCACAAATTCACAGAATGCAAAAATATTTGCTCATAACGCTGAGAAAATTTTTTAAAAAAGCAGCAGATAGATATATTATAGAAATTAAGTTTATGTGCAAATGAAGAAACTGCTAAATAAATAAAACAAGAACAAAATATATTGTGGGAATTTGTAACATTTGGTAATCATGTACAAAAAAGTGACTCACAAGTGGCAACCCTGCAATACAATAGAATACAACAAAACTGATATATAATTTAAGGAAAAGCCTTTCAAACACAAAAATTCATATAATTAAAAGAATAGATTCCATAATGTAAATACTATGTGGGGAAAGGGAAGGAAGAAGGATGGAAGAAAAGAAGTATTAATGGAATATTTTCTGGGACTGGAGGGGGAAACATTTAAATATAGCAGCAATTCAAGCATATTTAGAAAAGCAAATAATAAAAAAATACTCTAAACTATGGTGCTACATCACTACCAATATGAAAAGGTGTAAACCCACCTGTGAGACACAGATGGACAATAATTCTGCAAAATTTACAACACAGCTATTGAAAATATAAGAGCACGGAGATGGCAACAAGTAAGAGAAATATAAACGGGACCACTAGAATGGAAAGAAAGATATGTAACAGGAATTAGGTTATCAGTAGGAAAAATAATACAACAAAATCAACCAATCAGGGTTGCCACTCATCTAAGAAAATTTTCATTTCAAAGGATACAAGCAATTTTTTTCAAATAATATTTTACATTAAGACTAAAAAGAAAAAAGGATGAATGAAAAAGATGAGGGAAAATGATTTTATTCTCCCATCTCTTCTATGAATCTTGATTACTTTTCTATTAACTTTGTCCCACAGCATTTGAAAGATACGTGAAAACAATTACATAATTTTAAGACAGAATTATAAACCATTTCCACAAAAGTCCTTATATTGCCTTTATTTTTCCAATCCTTGGGTAGAAATACATTATTTCCACGTCCATAAATGTTTAAAATGACGTGAATATTCATGTTTTGGCATTCTTTAAGATATTGATTTGGAGAAGTTATGAAATTTAACTTTTTATATGGTCCATTCCTTCAACACCTACAGTTTTATTTAAGAAAAGTTTACATTTGTTATTTACCTAAATATTTATATATATATAAAAGAAAAAAGTTTGACTCCCGTGCAAGAAAACCTAAATGATATACTCGATTCTAGAATTTGAGATTTTCTGTCATTTCTAGCTTGTCCTGATGGGTACATTGAAACGTAAATTACAATAATTTGTTATCAAATTTTTTCTTTTAATGTCATTCAGTGACTGATAATTTACTCATTACTAACGTGCAACATTCTTCATTTTATAATTTTATTACAATGGGCACATAAAAAAAAAAAAAAAAAAAAAAAAAAAAAAGAGAGAGAGAGAGAGAGAGAAGTAATTTAAGAGTTTTTAAATGCTAAAAATACATTATCAATATTATCTTGAAGTCTTAATTTATAATCAATTTTATAATAAAAAAATCTAATTGAAAATCTCTAATTTAAGCAAATCATATTATTAATTGATAATATTCCAAGATTTTTTCTAGGAATCTGCCGGTGTTTCCAAGAACACAAACTCTGTAGAATTGTAAGATTGTTTAATTAAAAAAAAAATCAAAATTTTTTAGGGCATAGCATCTTTTCACACATTATTCAGGGTTCGTACACATTTCTGCACACAAAAATTAAGTACTTTTAAGGACTTTTAAGGACCATTAATGAAAAAATTAAGGACCTATGAGCAAATAGGAACTGAATAAATTCAATTAAAAATATTATCTATGCCTGAATTTCACTTTTGTGATACCATCCTAAAAATAAAACAGATCTCTAAGTAGTCTGCATTATTATTAAACATGAATTAATTAACATAATTATTAAAAATTTGAGAATAAAATAAACTTTATGCAATTTATCAAATAACAATTAAATATTTTACACTTACAACAAATGGACATATTTGAAAGAAGATAAGTGACATTTACGTTTTACCCACAGTTAGCTTTATGTTGATTTTTTTAAATGTCTCATTTTGTCACATACTTGGTCAGTCTAGAGGTTGAGTAAATAGCAGGTAGATCTTATGTTAAACGGCATAGGTTAAAATGAGAAGTAAGATCATAATCAGCATGATTCAGAACAAAAGACTGAATGTTGTTACTGCTGCTGCTTGTCTAGAGAGAGACCTGCTCATTAGAACAAACCTGAAAGGCCTGATGTAGGTTCGCAACTGTTGAAAGTTAGTCGGGCTCTGTTTGATGCAGTTAGTGTCATAGCTTCGTTTAGAGTTTCAGGGATTGTAACCCAGTTAATATACTTTAAGGTTCCAATAAGCCATTAAAGCACCAGAGATGATAAGTAATTTTGTATTATTTTAAGTCTCACTAGATGCAAAGAATAAGTGTTACTTGAATTTTTACATTTTTGTGTTTTATCTTGTGACCTCAGTGAGTATTAATGAAAGGCAATAACTCGCTTTAATTCGTAGAGATAATTTTTAAGGGTAAGCAGTTAGTTATAAATAATTAAATTAGGTAATTAGATAACCTTAGTCATTATGGATTTACATGGCCACAATTAAATTTTATTTTTAACAATATTTGTTAAAAAAGCCCTATTAAAATCAAAATCTAATAAAATTTCACAGTTTAAAATACATGTAATTTATAACATTGATTCTAAAACAATATTAGGATAATTACACATTAAAAGCTACAAAACATTTATGTTTTGTAACAACACTCAAAAAAATATTTATCCGTCATTTTAATTTGAAGCCTTCCCAAACATTTTGGCTAGTTTATATCGATTTCCTTCTCTTTAAGCATCTTTTCTAACAATTAGAGATTTGTCTCAAAATGCAAACCAATGCTCTCGCTAGTTTCTGCATCAACCTAACTGCTTTATCTCCTAACTTGTCAACCTCTCCACAATGTACCTATGAAGTTTACTTGATCTGGTAAAAGTTAAAAACTCGAAAACCCAACTGATGTGAAGCAAACTATCGCTATGTCTGAAAATAACTAAAACATCAGACAAAGGTTTAAATAAGCCTCTTATATAAAAAGAACACAGAATACAAAGGCATGTTCTATTCTAATGCTAACAAAATCATTTACGGCTCGCACTGACGTAATTAAACAACAGCCAAATTCAAACTAAAAGTGGGGAACTAATGGTCAGAGATTATACAATTTAATTTAAATTTAATCTGGCTCAGTAACTCTATCATATGAGGAAACAGAAATGGTAAATTATAGTAAAGGCTAATATCGTAAACAATTGGGTAATTTTCATAATAATAACTGGACATTTTCTTTGAAGAATAATTTTCTTTGTCTTTATTATTTTCTTTCAACACGTTTCCTTTTCATCTTAGAATTTTTGGATTTAATTAAAGATTTCCGTTATTCTAAAAAACATGAAATGCATTTAGAATGCATAGAAAATGGCTAATTTTATTTCTTTAGTAATATTAACATTCAGAAGAAATACATATGGTAAAGGCCGGTTACAGAGCTACTGTGGCAGAATTTTTGGAATTTAGTGACACATTGAACAACAAATCTGGAAATGGCAAAACTTTTAGAATTTAGAGCAGGCATTGGAAGCAGAATTTAGGCTCCACAGAGATTGAATCAGGTGGGAAAATGCTTAGTGCCAGCTCTGTGTATGATGCATTAAAACATATTAGATGAATCTTTTAAATTGTAAATTTTCAATTTCTTTATTAATAAAAAAAATCTCTTTCTATAATAGCTGCCCATGTGACAAGATTAGAAGCATTTTTGATACTTTCTATGCTTGTGTCTAGTGAAAAGTAGAGAAAATAAAGGGAAGGTAAACATGTTAAGAAAATGATTCTAGTATCAGGAGTAAAACATTCAAATATTATGTTTTCATTGTTCTTCCAGACGTTCTTCAAAAAGTAAGAAATTCATCGCAAACTTTCAGTAAAATACATCCATTACGTGTTGATACCATGGAGACATTTTCAATTTTGTCACATATTCCTCGAATCTTCTAGAATTGCGTATCTACAAATCTTGCCTTCAAATCCTTTTAAACTTTCCAAGCTGCAATGGCTAAAATACTAAAGAAAAATTACCCCTACCAATTCAGTAACAGCAAAAAGCCAGAAATATTTTGGAAAAGGAGGGAAAAAGGGTAAAATTTATTTTATAGAGAAAACTGATACATATTCTGAGAATTTTGAATATTCCGAGACAATTACATGGGAAAATCTTTTACTATGAACAAATTAAAAAGAAGATATTTTTAACTAATTACATAGCTAATTTTGCTTTTGCTAAGAGCCATTTCGTAAATTGTGCTTTATAGCATTATACCTTCTTTATTTTTCAGAGTCAAAATATTGTATAAGTTGCCAAAATGAAATTTTATAATATGACAGCGAAAATTAAAAATGCTTTATTTTAAAATTATTTTTTAAATATAATTTCAATATATTACCATTATTTTAATGTAATTTATCAATGTTAGGATGTTTTTAAAAAAATCGTCCAAAAATTCTCAGATCTCGGAATTAAAATTTTTTTATAGAAACTGATCTTAAAATTGCCAAATTTAGAACCGTTTAATAAAAGAATTCACATCTCCAAAAGCGAAATTTTTTTAAGAACTCTTTATTAGAAAAAATGAATTTCGAAATGCTTATATCTCACTTCTTGCTTAGAAACTCGAGTATCCCATCAATTATATTAGAAATAGAAAAAAATTATAACCCATAAACCCATTCAAAACATAACCATATATGCCAGTGAATCGCCAAAAATATTCCCCCAAAATGCTAATTCACACTCAAAATGGCAATTGAAAAAAAGAGACAGAAATTTCAGATGATTAAAATTAAGAACCTTCTGCTGATTTTGGCCAAAATTAAGGACTTTTAAGGACCAAAAATCTAAGGACTTTTAAGGTCTTTTAAGGACCGTACGAACCCTGTTATTATGAAAATTTTTTTGCTAAACTGATATTTCATTTTTAACTCCCTGTTAGAACTACAAACATTCTGCACATCAGTTTCTGTACGACTCCTGAATATAAGAAATTTTAATGTTAATATACAGCAGCCATATTTTTTATTTTTTTAATAAAGAATATAAATGTTTATTAATATAGACAGAAATTAGGAGACCACATAAAAAGTTACAATTCATAATTTACGCAGTACTGATTGTTTAAAAATTTTTTTTAAATGTCAATAAAACACATGTGTCTCATTAAAATCAATTTTGTAACTGGAAGTATATGTCTTAAGATGACTGGTTAAAAAAATAAAGATAAGGAGTTTTGTGTACATCCAAAGAAAATATTATGAATTACATATAAAAAATATAGTAGAGGATTTACTTGAATCCTAATTTATGATAATGCAGAAAATTTCCATGCATAAACATCTGACATATTTAGTTAAATATATATATATAGAGAGAGAGAGAGAGAGACACACACACACCAGAGTAGCAACCCTGCTCTGAGCTAGCAGATACAAACTCTACATTTGTTTCAATATAAATACTTACAGTTGGAACTAATAAAAAATATA